AAAATATCTTTAAGCTGCCCCGATAGCACACACAAGTGTATTCACAAGTTGTATCACCACAACAGTATTTTACATTTGTGAAAAAAAACCTGAGATAACAAACATACTTCGAGAACACAAGTTATCCTGTTCAGGAATTCATAAAAATGCTTTAAGTTTTCGTTTCTTTATCCAGCAGCATTAAACCAACTCCAGGTAAACATCTGTGACAAAGTTTTTGTCAGAAATATTCATGAAAAGCTTACTTGGCAAACATAAGTAATCCTGATAAGGTGGTTACGGAGACTCCTGAAGATTTAAAGTGGCCCATCAGCCCTAATGACGGTTGTTGAGGACAGACAGATTGTATACTACTGTGTTAGCACTTGGCCAGGATTGTGTACAAGCCAAGCACACCAAGATCTACTTTAGAATCTTACAGTAATGCCCTAATGGTGCCTTTGTGTTATGAATACACATACAAGTGTTACATGTTATCTGCAGATGAGATTCCCAAACCAATAACTTTGGCCCTTCCCACTAATTGTTTAAAACAGGCAACCATTATTGCGAATGACAAATGGCATCAGTATTTTTTATCTTCATTCCTTGCATGACTTAGAAATTTGTGGCAAAACTAAATGGAGTACTACCAATAAGTTAGATTAAAAAGTCATTTATACAGTACAACACAGAATCAGATATAGACATTTACTAATTAACATAGGAATGTACACATTTATACGCAGACACCTGATGCCAATTTTGGACATGGCCCAGTGAATCTGCCAAAAATGACGACTACAGTGAAACTTGTTTGACATCCAGTGGTATCCTACAAACTGGTCAGATAACACAGGGTACCAAAATACAGAAGTGGCTTTATATCTGAATGTCGGTTATGACAAGATGTCAGAATATTCAGGTGTTGGATTAGACAAGTTTCACTGTATTTATATATAATGTCTACTGTACTTATACTGTTCATGTTCTTATATTTCCTGTCTACTATACTTGTCTATACTGTTTACTTCGTTTATATAAACTGTTATTGTACTTATATATACTGTTAATGTACTTATATATAGTGTTAATGTACTTATTTATATACTGTTAATGTGCTTATATATACTGTTAATGTGCTTATATATACTGTTAATGTACTGATATATATACTGTTAATTTACTTATATATACTGTGAATGTACTTATATATGCTGTTAACGTACTTATATATATACTGTTAATGTATTTATATATATACTGTACGTTAATGTACTTATAAATATACTGTTAATGTATTTATATATATACTGTACGTTAATGTACTTATAAATATACTGTTAATGTACTGATATATACTGTTAACGTACTTATATATATACTGTACGTTAATGTACTTATAAATATACTGTTAATGTATTTATATATAATGTCTACTGTACTTATACTGCTCATGTTCTTATATTTCCTGTCTAATATTCTTGTCTATACTGTTTACTTCACTTATATATACTGTTAACGTACTTACATATATATACTGTTAACTTACTATATATATACTGTTAATTTACTTATATATACTGTTAATGTACTGATATATATACTGTTAGTGTACTTATATATATAATGTTAATGTACTTATCTATACTGTTTACTTCACTTTAATATACTGTATAACGTACTTATATATATACTATTAATGTACTTATATAAACTGTCAATTTATATATACTGTCTGTATATACTGTTTACTTCACTTATATATACTGTGAATGTACTTATATATAATGTTAATGTACTTATAAATATACTGTTAATGTATTTATATATATACTGTTAATCTACTTATATTTCCTGTCTACTACACTTGTCTATACTGTTTACTTCACTTATATATACTGTGAATGTACTTATATATATACTATTAATGTACTTATATATGCTGTTAACGTACTTATATATATACTATTAATGTACTTATATTTCCTGTCTTCTATTCTAGTCTATACTGTTTACTTCACTTATACTATACTTATATTATACTGTTAATTGACTTATATAAACTGTTATTGTACTTGTATATACTGTCTACTGTACTTATACTGTTCATGTTCTGATATATCCTGTCTTCTATACTTGTTTATACTGTTTACTTCACTTATACTATACTTATATTATACTGTTAATTGACTTATATAAACTGTTAATGTACTTATAAATATACTGTTAATGTACTGATATATATACTGTTAATGTACTTATATATATACTGTTAATGTACTTATATTTCCTGTCTACTATACTTGTCTATACTGTTTACTTCACTTTAATATACTGTATAATGTACTTATATATACTGTTAATGTACTTATATATACTGTCGACTGTACTTATCTATACTGTTTACTTCATTTATATATATTGTTAATGTACTTATATTTACTGTCTACTGTACTTATCTATACTGTCTATTATACTCATCTATACTGTTTACTTCACTTATATATACTGTTAATGTACTTATCTATACTGTTTACTTCACTTATACTATACTTATATTATACTGTTAATTGACTTATATAAACTGTCAATTTATATATACTGTCTGTATATACTGTTTACTTCACTTATACTATACTTATATTATACTGTTAATTGACTTATATAAACTGTTAATTTATTTATACTGTCTGTATATACTGTTTACTCTATCATGTATATTTATACTACATACAGGTACTTTAATATCAGAAAGTTATGTATCTAATATTACTGGCTTGTACCTTCCATTATTGGATGATTGCAGTGAAAAATGGTTATATATATTTCGTAAAAAGATGTTTTTTTAATATTGTCATGAATGTTATACCCAAGTGTATTTAAGTGCAAGATTAATGACTAATTAATCTTTCCATTTATAATCACATTGTCACAATCATAGTTAACCAGAAATGGCCGATGCCATACATCCTATCAGTAACCATTAGTCACCACACTGACACCAAACTAACATGTCTGTAGGGAGATGACTGTTTCAACAGACAGATGTGAAACAATTTGTAATGCATTAAATTGGAGCTTAATTCAATTATTGGCATTTTCTATAACATACATAGAGGCTTTGATTCTTCACATTGTTGAGAATGGGATCAGAGTACCAAAAGATGGGGAACTGTGAGACATCAGGGATACTTTCATGTCGCTTTACGGTGACTCAAACACATGACACATTTCCTGATCTAAAGATGGAAACAGCAATGAGAAGTAGATGCTCAAGGCTATGACGAATTCCCAAAGATTGTGAAGAATGTGGGAACAATATGCTATGACCAATACTAGTATTTGATGGTCAGGAATATGTATGCCTGATAACAAGCATGCTAAATGAAGAATGATGATTAGTTGCCATAACAATCACAGATAATGTGTTCTAAGAGGGTATGCTTTCTAATACAATTTTTCTTCAATGTTCAAAATTTTCATTTCTAACTTATCGCAAAGAAATAATTTCCTAACTTATAGGTGCATTGGTTTGGTTTAATGTAAGTAAAATAGATTGATTGTAACCTATCATAGAATTGCAGAAGTTCATTTTGTGTAAATTGCCTAAATTACAAGATATTGATATTTCATATAAAGATAGTCTCAAATTCTCAATAATCTAATGGGGATCCCTGAAGGATTACAATTCTATTGTCATGAGTTCCGTTATGTGATATTTGTTTGCTTCAAACGGCCTGCTATGGTACCCACCCTGTTAATAGCCTCTTATAATATCGTAAAATAACCAATCTGTATAATGTTAAAGGTATTTTTCTCACCAAAATTCCATTGTGAGTATAAAGCATTAAATAAATGTCTTTAAACTATCATAAAATCCCTCTTTGACCTTTTTACAGTATTTATATGGTAATGAAAAATTCTTTTGGTGCAAAGCTCTTTTGATGCAAAATTCTTTTGATGCAAAACAGACAACTGCAAAGAAAGCTACAGTTGACCATAGAAAATGTCAATGTGATTTTGAACAAATTCAGAAGACCTTAAGCAGTATTATTTATAAATCTTTTCAAGGTTTGTCTAAGTCTCTGGAACGTTTGGAGCATACGCCTTACAAATGGAAATATATGTATTACAATTTCAATTTCAATGGGTCAGAATAGATTTTGCTTTTAAAATTGCTTCAAAATGGAAGCTACGGTAAATACTGATGCCATCATACCATAGTTTATCACGGGATGTTCACTTCTGAACAAAATCAGAAAGAAATTCTAAAACCACCGAGCTTAGGTATTATCCTAGTTCTATGCCACACAAGTGACAAAATATATTATGCTCAATTGGAAACATTTGTTTTGTTAATTTTTAGAACTTTTCAGTGAAGAAAACGATCCTGTAACGATAGCATGAAAGCTTCATACTGTCATAAATCCTTCACATCGTGGGGTTGGACGACAGTTTATGACGTCATACTTTGATGACCTCATAATCAATGACAATGCACAACACACATTTTAAGCTTTCTAATTGGTTATCATATTCATTAATTTTGCATTCTGCATTTCAATTGGCTTTAATCTAAGACAGTGCTATTTTTTATTTGTGAAAAGTATCATTCTAATATTTTTCACAGCAGTTAAATTAAATTTCATAACTAATTCCTGATGTTTTAATGCTAAAAATATTAAAAACATTTGTATATGTATCCATTTAGACAATGGCTTGAAAGAGTCAGACTCACTCTCTGATTTGTATGTTTTCATATGGAAAAATTATTATGTTTGCCTGGTCACACTGTTTTCTGTCTGCTTTTCCGATATAATAATCTAATATTTATATAATGGATATTTTGGGAGAAATATAACATACCTTTATATAATGGACATTTTGGGAGATATATAACATACCTTTGTATAATGGTCATTTTGGGAGATATATAACATACCTTTATATAATGGACATTTTGGGAGATAAATAACATACCTTTATATAATGGACATTTTGGGAGATATATAACATACCTTTGCATGTTTCTTCAAGATTCGTTTCGCATTGATGTCAGCATAGTCCAGAGCAGATATGTAGCGGGATGTCATCGTTACCCTTGACCTGTGACCCAGAAGGTCAATCCAATGTCTGTTAGGGAAATCTACTGAGCCTCATCTGAAATCCAAGACATACATATTAGAAAAACTATCACACTAAGACATTTCAGGCTATACCCCCCATTCACATTGCATATAATCTCTAAGTCCAATATATGCCTTACACATTTCCTGTTCAATTCTGTCAAACAGCATTTTAGATATAGTCTCTGAAAGATATCTAACATAGGAATAGTCTTATAAATTTTTACTTCTGTTTTTTATATGGCATGCCCTTCCATTCTGCAGGTCACACTTGTCCGTTATACAACGTCAAATTCCCTAGGCCACAGGATGCTTTATACCATATAGTATTAAGCTAAAATCCCTCATTCCTAAATAATTACCCCATTTGTCCTATCAGGCTTGATCACCCCTCAGCCTCTGTCTCCAGAGACATACACTTATACAATACCATTATTAATTAATACAATACATATATTTTGAATCTGCTTGGATCAAGGATGCTCTATACCAAATGTAGTCAAATTCCTTTCAGCAATTATGTTACCTGGTACCACAGACTTAGATAACAATAATCTAATTCCGCGCTGGTACATATATCTTAAAGAAAGTCTGTTGATCAGACAAACTACGAACACTGCACCATAACATCAGCTCACCTTCGAGCCAGGTTAGGTAGAAATGCTGAATTCTTCAGTGAAAGACAAAACATTGAAATTTTGAATATGTCTCTTTTTCTCCAATTATTCAGGCAATAACATTGAATAACAAATATTCCCAAGTTTTAGTGAAATTCCCTTTCCAAAAGCAAACAAAGGTAAAGTCTCTACATACATTCTGTAGATTGTAAAAAAAAATCTTAACTAAAAAAAAATCATTAAAGATCCAACCATGGATTGACAACAGAAAACCTGCATACCATCAAAACATAACATTCACAACATATCACTTTTGTGTAAAACAAACACATGGCCATACAATTTTGTATTTCCAAAAATACATAAAAGATTTTTTTTTAGATAGATTTTTTTCATCCTTAACAGACAGGAAATGGATGACAGTAACAAGAAATATGAAGAGAAACATTACAGTGTTGTAGGACTTCAAATCTCAACAGGTGGATGGGAGACAACTCTTGTGTACTTATTCTCTTATAAATATGACATTTTTTATAACAAATCTGAAAAATAAACACGGAATTCTTAACTAGAGAAATTGGATCTGAATTCTTAACTAGAGAAATTGTACTACGTAAGGCAGACATGGTATAGAAAGAAGTATTCACCATTAAATCAATGAACATGATTTCTGTTAAGTCGAGATTGATGCGAGGTTAAAAAGACACCAACACTCAATGGTTTGTGCTTTAGGTAACCAAGATGTGTCAATAATAATAATAATATACAATATTTGATATAGGGCCCTATCTAGCTAACATAAGCCACTCTAAAGCGCTTTACAGTACATAGATATACAATTAGGATATACAATTTTTGAGGAATTCGCAGGAGCTGCCTTATCAGGTGCTAACTACTAGCCCTATGCCACCTGACTAATATCTCCCTATGTGTGTATGACTGCGTGTGTGCTGGAGATGTATAGTGTACTGTTTGTAGTGGGACCGTGCTTCCAACGGCACTTTATTATAGTGCCACCTCACTTGAATATTACATCACAGATACAGCAACATCCACCCCAGACCATTTTATACTCCGCCTGGGTTGTTGGAGTTGCGTGGGCAGGAGAAAAACACTTTCTCTGATATTCCATGCATGCGACGACTTCAGGGATCGAACCCTGGCTGCCTGCGTGGAAGGCCGAAGTGTTAACCATTCGACCAATCCACCCATAACAATAACAAGCAACTAAATGATTTAACTGTTGTGCATTTCAAGTTCTTGAAATTTCTTGTTCGGCTGTGGAACAATAACCCTTTGTGAAAATAAACCAGTTTTCACATAATTTCATCTCCAATGATACAGAAAATAAAAATCAATATTGCTTTCCATATTTCCACCTTGGGCAAATAGAGTCAAATAGAGTACATGACAATGGCATAACACCACTTTAGTAAAATCAATTCTAGTTCTGACAAGTTGTGTGTTAGTACAAGGGAATGCTATTCTAGTTCTACTAAATTGTACATCAGTACACAATTTTAGAGTTTGGAGGTTCTGGGTTTGAATCCCAGTCTGGACCGGTTGCATTTTTCTTCTCCTGTTAAAATATATATTAAGATATTGTACATAGAACAGCTATATCCCTCTCTGATTCATTTTGGACTGCAATAGTTTATTTGAACCATTTTGCTTACCACAAACTATGAGTTTGAGCTCGAGGTAACCATGCACTAACTCAAATCTGGAGTCTAGAAGCAAATTTAAGATACATCATAAAGTGTTACAATCCTGTAAATCACATTCATAAGGACCTTACATACAAAAACCTGAATCAATAATGATAAAACCCTTCTTATATCCCTTCATTTTATCTAATAAAGTTTCATAAGTTATAAAGTACATTGCAATCAACCATTTGGGTCCCTTGGTGAAGTTGTCAATATATTTACCATCGCATGGCATTGCAACTATATAACCCTACCGTATTCATATGGCATTCATATTGGCTATGAATGCCACAAGTCAATTGTTGACATCATCACTATTGTTAAGTTACACATACTGACCATCCCTGGACAGATGATGTTCTATTCATCATTCCTATGAATGCCATCTAAAAGCTGTTCAATGCTTTTAAAAGTTTACTCACCATATTCTTTCCTGTCCATTTTATAAGATACATGCATCCCTAACTTATCATTGAATTTTCTCTTGAACATCTAAATTAATAAAAAATTATTCCTGTAAGAAAATTAGTCACTTACAGTATTACCCCTTGGTTTCGTTACAAACATGTTTTACTGTATTAATCAAATAAGAAATGAGTTCCCTTCTTACCTTGGCAACAATTACAATACATAACAATCCTTGTCGGTGTTAACACTGCATGACAGGCCTTAATACCATGTTGTTCATTCCTACACTGAATTTAAACAGCAAGTTGATGAAATGTATTGAGTAGTTCTGTACACTTGACCAAACAGTGGCTCAAACAAGTTGACAACTATAGTACAACTCTAGATATTTAACGCAGGATGTGGTGTTCATTGGCCGTTTTAGTCCTATCTGTTTCTGACAGCCACGCGGGACCTCCCGTAGGTCAATCAGGGTATACTAGGATTTATCAGCCATACAACAAATCACCATCATTGATCACTTAGTTTCTGTATACATGCCACTGTATGGAACACGTGCCGTTCTCAGTCTGTCACAGAACAACTTGAGATATTCTTGACCTGTAACCTCCAAACCTGTTTATATGGAAAAGGAAGTTTTTTGTATTAAAAGCAGACCAATCAAACTGATAACCTCTATATACCGACACCTGTTGGTATCAAACCTACAGCCTCAATGTACGAATTAACTCTGTCTCATTTCCAGTAGACTGTGCAATTCATTGATTTGGGAAAGTCTAAGTGTGACTTTAGGGATCAATGGGTTAAGCACCAACATTGCAACCTCTATATACCAACAATTATGGACACCAAAATTACCTTTATATACAGACACCTATTGGTATCAAACCTTCAGCCTCAATGTACCAATTAAGCACTCAAATTACAACCTCTATATACTAACACCTATGGACACCAAAATAACCTTTATATCATGACACCTGTTGGCACACAATATTCTTCTATACCAATACCTGTAGTTCCCAACCCTATACCCCACCCCACCAGTAACTATACTCACCCTTCTAACAACCTCTGTACACTGACACCTGTACACACACATCTAACAACCTCTGTACACTGACACCTGTACACACACATCCAACAACCTCTGTACACTGACACCTGTACATACACATCTAACAACCTCTGTACACTGATACCTGTACATACACTTCTAACAACCTCTGTACACCGACACCTGTACACACACATTCAACAACCTCTGTACACCGACACCTGTACACACACATCCAACAACCTCTGTACACTGACACCTATACATACACATCTAACAACCTCTGTACACTGATACCTGTACACACACATCTAACAACCTCTGTACACTGATACCTGTACATACACATCTAACAACCTCTGTACACTGATACCTGTACATACACATCTAACAACCTCTGTACACTGATACCTGTACACACACTTCTAACAACCTCTGTACACTGACACCTGTCTAAAGATATACTGTTGTTTGTGTGTTCCTCTCATCCCAATTCAAAAGTAATTTGTTCTATATTTTTTGTTAAATGTACATATTCATTTATTTCGTGAAGATTAAATCTTAAGTATATACAAAACTTACAGAAACCTTATGTATGCTCATCTCATTCCATTTTAAGACAGAAAAGTAACTGGTTTTACATTTTATTGATATATGTACATGTATTCATTTATTTCGTGAAGATAAAATCCGAAAGTTTATACAAACTTCCAGACAACCTTCATGGCGATACTACATTTCTAAGAGGACAGGAAAGATGTATAGCATATCATATGAGCCTGAACTCAATCAAATCAGTAATATCTAGCTGGCCCCAATACATAAAATGTCACCGGGTGGTATCTACACCAGGCGATCAGACCCACTATCAGACTGTAGTAGACAACTTTGATCAATGTATCACTATTGGTTGTCATTGTGTCCCGTATTTATCCTCCCTATGACAACACGATAGAATGTGTTTCTTCTCACAACAAAATACCAGTTTAGCAGTCCCATTGTACTGCAGGACAACAGTCGCCACGTTTACACAAGCTTGTCCGGGATTTGTACAATACTCACCCAAATGTTTGTTTTTAGGGAAACCCTTTGTTCATTAGGTAGATTCCACAAACCTCTTTCCCTTTCCATGGATTTTCACCTTTAATCAAGTGAAGCATTTCCAAAAGAATAAATTATTAGCTGGCAGAGTCCACCACACCCTGGGTTTACAAACCTTAAGCTATATAATAAAGACGTACACAAATCTGTACTGATACACTATGACATACACAACTTGCTGTCCAATATTGAAAGATTTGTATGTGAATTTATGGTAGATGTTCATAATTCTATATCTTTAATTTGAGAAGTATTCAACAATTTTTAACACATACTTTTGGTCTATTTCACTAATTTAGTGATATTAAAACTTTTTTAAGAGTTTTTTTTTTATGTTTATATTTATATTTGATATTTTGTATATATTAGTATATAAATATAATTTAGTAATTTTAATGTTTTCATTTATCAAAATTTCAGGACCTCTACAGAAATTTTAAAATTGAAATGTCGAACAAACTAGTTGACCTGACTGAAATGTGTAACTCCATACAGAAGTTCTTAAGCATTCTGATTCATGACAAGAACAGAAAGTAGTAAGGAAAATATAAATAATGGAGTTTTAATCCAATTTATAAACTTTCAGTTAGGAAAATGGATCAGAAGTCAAAATATACTAGTGTGAACATAGCTGTTATTATACCAATTTAGTAAACTTTTGTCCGTGAATTCAAATCTTCTTAAATAACTTGTTGATGTAATCCAAAGAGGTTTAAATTAAAATAGTACCCAGCATAATGGTTTTAAGTACTTCTGGTTTCTTACCTATAATGGAATCAGACATGAAAAGGACCTATACCGGTGTACTTTCTGTTTATATATCGTTCACTGATTTGGACAGCAGTACTAGTCCAATCATCGTAATGTCACAAGAAGAGAGTCCTCAGTTCCAGGTGGAAATCTTACGCTTAAGGACATTCCAATTTGGCTGCCACACCAAACTGTATACAAATTCAATAATGCATTCCGTAAGCATTAAACAATCCCTGTCAAAGAAAAAAAAATCCTCCTTCAATATTTCTCAAACATAATTGAGGTACATGCACACTAAATTTCAGAAAAAAACATTCAATAACTGATGAAAAAATTCGTTTTTATATGTTCATTTTCCAAGCTGAATTAAAGTCACAATTCAGGAAAAAATCCATTTAAACTTGTAAATATCATAAGGTTGTATGTCCATGGAGATGCATTTGTTGAGAAAAATGTAAGAAAATGTTTCAAATCTCCAGATTAATAGCATATATTTCCCCTGAATAAATCACAACTGAGCACAAAGCGAAAAAGGCTGACTGAGGTTGGAAAAAAGCATACAAATCAAGTGAGATTAGGTTCTCACTCAGGTAATATGAGCTTGACTTGTATCAAAAGTCTTGTTGGCTTTATGAATTATTGTAAAATATCCAATCAAACTACATGTCATCATTCTCTGGATTTGACACATTTTCTTACATTTTTCTCAACAAATGCATCTCCATGGACATCCAACCTTATGATATTTACAAGTTTAAATATGTTTTTTTCCTGAATTATGACTTTTATTCAGCTTGGAAAATGAACCTATAAAAAGTGAGTTTTTTTCATCAGTTAATGAATATTTTTTCTGAAATTTAGTGTGTTACCTGTACCTCATTAGGGTTTGGGAAATATTGGAGGAGAAACTTTTTTGTGACAGAGATCGTTTAATGCTGACGGAATGCATTATTGAATTTGATATACAGTTTGGTGTGGCAGCCATATTGGACCTTAAATAAGTGTTAGTAAGATTTTCACCTGGGACCGAGAATATCAGTAAAGGTGGTAACTAGAATTGCAATACCGCGTATATCTTAGTACCGAAGTAAGTATCCTCCAGGGGGGTTACATTTTATACAGTTGGGGGTGGGGTGTTACATTTTATACAATTGGGGGTGGGGGGGTGGGGGGTACATTTTATGCAGGTATAAAAAGTATCTGAATACTTTTTGTTGGAGGAGTACATTATATGCTTGACATCAGGTATTGTAATGTAAATTAGTACCCACCTCTATACTTATGTCATTCCAACAATTGCAATTTTTCAACTAATTGTTTGGGAGTTTAAACAAAGAAATAATGTTAAGATTGAACAAATACTATCAACACCTAACTTGCTTGATGTGATAATTTACAAAACTTCTATAAAATAATTCTCAACTTAGCAGTTTTATTACTTCTATATAAAATCACTGTACACAAACTGAATGTCTTGGGAGTACAATATGGGGTGATATATTGCAATAATGAATAGTTCCTAAATATTACATTTTCTTGTATTATTTCTTTATTCCTAAATATATGTATTGTATAAAATGTAGTAACTCTTTCTATTAATGCATTAAAGTGTATGTAATTGTTTATATTGTAGCAAAACTTGGTCAATCATAGGCGTATTAGGCGACTAGGTACGATCATAGGCTACCGGGTACGATCGCCGGCGACCAGGTAGCTCAATTGGTTAGAGCGTCTGTCTAGAGTTTAGAGGGTCTCGGGTTCGAATCCCGGTCTGGCCGTGCATTTTTCCTCTCCTGCTACACTAGCAATACATAAAAGGTTTTAGTACCAGTATGGTAAGTTCTGCTTCAAGTAACCAACTATGGTCTGCTACTGTTTGATGTATGGTGCTCGAAATTAGATATTAGAGTTACTGATGATACTGCTGCACAGTCTGGTCACTTAGATCTTCTATGAAACATCGGAATGCTATAATTTAAAATTTTGTCAACTTAATGACTGGAACAAAATCTTCAGTACACCATTATATGTACCAACTCCAGCACGACTTATAAATTACGCTGAGTTCTTACAGTTACATTGGTAGACTGCCATGTCACAGAGCTGTAGTGTACTCTGTACCCTGTTAATACCAGATTAATTAGATTGATATTCACACCATACAGTCACAGTCTGCAAAATACATTTCATATTAAAATTAAACATAAACTCTAAAAGAGAACTTTTTTTTTCACATCTGAATGAAAAATTATCGCAATAATTAGTCTTTGATTACATTAAATTTAAAGTCTAAAGCAATCATAAGGCAAGGTTTACCTGTATGTGGTCATAAGGCAAGGTTTACCTGCATGTGGTCATATGACATTGTTTACCTGTATGTGGTCATAAGGCAAGGTTTACCTGTATGTGGTCTTAAGGCATGGTTTACCTGCATGTGGTCATAAGACAAGGTTTACCTGTATGTGGTCATATGAACAGGGTTTACCTGTGTGTGGTCATATGTACAGGGTTTACCTGTGTGTGGTCATAAGGCAAGGTTTACCTGTATGTGGTCATAAGGCAAGGTTTACATGTATGGGGTCATATGTCAGGGTTTACCTGTATGTGGTCATAAGGCAAGGTTTACCTGTATGTGGTCATATGACATTGTTTACCTGTATGTGGTCATATGAACAGGGTTTACCTGTGTCTGGTCATATGTACAGGGTTTACCTGTGTGTGGTCATAAGGCAAGGTTTATCTGTATGTGGTCATAAGGCAAGGTTTACATGTATGTGATCATAAGGCAAGGTTTACCTGTATGTGGTCATATGACATTGTTTACCTGTATGTGGTCATATAACATCGTTTACCTGTATGTGGTCATATGACATTGTTACCTGTATGTGGTAATATAACATGGTTTACCTGTATATGGTCACATGACATTGTTTACCTGTATGTGGTCATAAAACATGGTTTACCTGTATGTGGTCATATGACATTGTTTACCTGTATGTGGTCATATGATATGGTTTACCTGTATGCAGTCATATGACAGGGTTTACCTGTATGTGGTCATAAGGCAAGGTTTACCTGTATGTGGTCATAAGGCAAGGTTTACTTGTATGTGGTCATATGACATTGTTTACCTGTATGTGGTCATAAGGCAAGGTTTACATGTATGTGGTCATATGTACAGGGATTACCTGTATGTGGTCATAAGGCAAGGTTTACATGTATGTGGTCATAAGGCAAGGTTTACCTGTATGTGGTCATAAGGCAAGGTTTACCTGTATGTGGTCATAAGGCAGGGTTTACCTGTATGTGGTCATAAGGCAAGGTTTACCTGTATGTGGTCATAAGGCAAGGTTTACATGTATGTGGTCATATGACATTGTTAACCTGTATGTGGTCATATAACATTGTTTACCTGTATGTGGTCATATGACATTGTTTACCTGTATATGGTCATATGATATGGTTTACCTGTATGCAGTCATATGACATGGTTTACCTGTATGTGGTCATATGACATTGTTTACCTGTTTGTGGTCATATGACATAGTTTACCTGTATGCGGTCATATAACATGGTTTACCTGTATGCGGTCATATGACATTGTTTACCTGTTTGTGGTCATATAACATGGTTTTCTTGTATGCGGTCATATGACATTGTTAACCTGTTTGTGGTCATATGACATAGTTTACCTGTATGTGGTCATATGACATAGTTTACCTGTATGTGGTCATATAACAAAGTTTACTTGTATGCAGTTAAATGACATTGTTTACCTGTTTGTGGTCATATGACATTGTTTACCTGTATGCGGTCATATAACATGGTTTACTTGTATGCGGTCATATGACATTGTTTACCTGTATGTGGTCATATGTACATGGTTTACCTGTATGTGGTCATATTACATGGTTTACCTGTATGTGATCATATGACATGGTTTACCTGTATGTGGTCATATGACAGGGTTTACCTGTATGCAGTCATATGACATGGTTTACCTGTGTGTGATTATATGACATGGTTTACCTGTATGTGATCATATGACATGGTTTACTTGTATGTGATAATATAACATGGCTTACCTGTATGTGGTCATATGTACATGGTTTACCTGTATGCGATCATATAACATGATTTACCTGTATGTGGTTGCATGACATGGTTTACCTGTATGTGAACATATGTACATTGTTTACCTGTATGTGGTCACATGACATAGTTTACCTGTATGCGATCATATGTACATGGTTTACCTGTTTGAAGTCATATGACATGGTTTACCTGTATGTGATCATATGACATGGTTTACCTGTATGTGATCATATGACATGGTTTACCTGTATGTGATTATATGACATGGTTTACCTGTATGTGATCATATGGCAAGATTTACCTTCACATTGTCTTATGACATTGTGTACATGTATTTGGTCATATGACATTGTAACCTGAAGTATAATTTAACTTTTGTGATAAATATACCGTTTTTGTTCACAGTACCTACCTGTTAATATTGGACACAGAAATCCTGATCACATACCACACATACAAACTCTGCTGACTGTTTGCCGACAGGGGGTTTAACCAGCCTTGTAGGAACTTTCAGGTGTACCACTTTTGATTGAATTAAAATGTTTCCACAATAGTATAATTCAAAGTTCAATGTATAGCAGTCTGGTTAATTTGACTGTTATTGGTAGACCCAAAGCATACAATGTGAGTTATAATCTGTACATTATGTGTCAATGGCATTGGTACTGGAGTAAGAAAATCTTGTCCTATTAAGTGTTAGTTTTAAAGGTGTGAAGTAAATTCCTCCAAATCTTGTAGTAGATTCAAAGATTATCATTAATCATCAATGAATTCAAAATCAAATTGAAAGAAAATCTTTTCAAAAATGTCCTTAACATCTGTATCAACTCATAAATATGAGCCACTGCTATAAAAATCAATTATCAATACTTTACACCTCCAAGTACACTTTATATACTAGCTGCATAACCCAATATAAAGCTATATGTGTATTACAGTGGCCTGTACCTTAGTCTATATAGAGAAATGAAATTATAAGTACCCTGGGAGACCTCCATTCAGTTGTTATACACGGACCATTATGGTATATTATTTCATAAATTATATTCTTGACAGAATTACACACGGAGTCAATCTTATCAATGACAGCTTCATATGGTAGAGGCTAAAAAACCAGCACCCAATATACTGTCACGGTCGGACAAGTAAAGATTAGTAAAATAAAAAGTCACCCAATTTTTGATAGCCTTTTATCTCTAATGCTTTTAATGTAAAGGATATGAAATATGATACCTTTAGTTCTGGCCTTCAAAAGTGATTTATTCAATTAAAAGAAAATTAATTTTATTTCCTTCAATTTAAAACTGCTTTCATATTAAGTTGGTATAAAACTGTCATTACCAGGTAGGTTTGTTTTAAGAAATAAATTCTAGTAAAAAAGTTAATCTGATATTGTCATCAACATCGATATCAGAAAAGACACCGACAAGGTAGCTCTCCGAAGACAAGAAAACACAGCATGTGTTTACAATAATGTATATATACCTTAGAATATTAAAAGAAGTCAAGTATGTCATTTATGTAAATAAATATAGCAATCGTGTAAGATAATCAATATTTGTGTCAAGAGCGTAATAGCACTGATTGTATGACTAGATATATCCTTGACAAGATCCCCACTATGATCAGATTACATCCTTATCCACCTAATCATTAATAGTCCTCGATCCCTGGACTCCTTTCTTAACGCAATGGTTGTGCCAGTCATAGAAGGACTTTTTTTCTCTTCCTTCAATTTTTACCGATTTCCTCTTACTTAAGCTTCACGAGGAAAACAGATTTAAATTTATACAGCATGTACTTTTTTGGAAAACTAACAATTGCCATGGCCATATTAGTCAACACATCAGGAAGGTCTTCCATGGTCGGTAGGCTGTAGATCTAAAACAGCAGTGGTCGAATGGTCATAGCAAAATCTTTGCCAGATACCTTCTCTACATGATAATGATTAAAACAGTCTAAAAAGTTCCCATGAAAGGGAAAAATGCAAAAGTCCTGACAAATAGCGGTCAGTGAAAATTAAGGACATACCTGCAACTCATGGAAGTCTGTGGCGTCAATCCAAGAATACACCTAATCTCAAAGTTTGGGCAAGTTTATAAATGTTCTATAAAGCCTCGTTTAATTAAGAAGTCTAGTACCTGGTACACTTTGACTGTGGACACTGATATTATTATATACCCAAGCTGATCAGATAGTCCACGTACTAGACTCCAAGACTCGACACATCTATCATGACTTTGCCGGAAATTCAAACGCAACACTGACAGACCACAGATCAAATTAGCCCAACATTATTTAATATGTTGACACAAGTATCAAAAGAAAAAATCTAATTGGCCTTTAAATTTAATATGATCTACAAGGCAATATCGTACATGAACTGTTTGTTCTGCGGACTCGGAATGTTACAGTCCACTAGGGTATGGTAGTGTTTACAATAGGCCTCTCAGCGGATACACATAACGCTTATCTACCTGTCTATACAATCAGAATTAAATCTCTTATCAGTAATGTGGAGATAAAAAGGCTGAGTAAATACGGTTCCACAGATCCTGACAGCTGTAGTGTGCACAGAGTGCCCCAATGTGGGGTGTATTGTATGTACCTTTTGTTACACAGATACCCCTAAAACCTACTTACCAACACTATCATCTCCTAGCTAGCAAACCCTCCTCAACTCCACTCCAAACATAATTGTTTAATCTGAGTTCATGGACTCTACATGACAAATCTACATATGAGGTTTAATTTACAACTCAAGAACTACCAATTTACCTTTCCAAATCAAATATGAAAAATATCCCACGTTTTTAGCAGCAGACTGCTGGAAGTCATTGCATAATTTTTTGCATTTAGTTTGTGCAAAGTTCTAAAATAGGAATAAAATATTCAACAAATTACAGTATAGCCTTGATAATGCAGCCATTTTTCTTCCAAACTTATGGAGAAACAGCTGAATCAAAGAGACAATTTGAACAGACAACTGGCTGCATATTGGGATAACCTGCATGGCTGATAGCTATATTTTTTACCTTATTCAGCTGTATTAAAATCACCAGGAACTGTTTGATGATTTCAGTTACCTGTTATTGCATATGTAATACAGTATATCATACTATATTTAAAATGAAATTCTCAATGATGCATTACCTAAAACAAATTAAAGCAATTCCTCCAATCTCCTGGAGCTGTCCTTATCAGTATCCTCTGTTTGTATAGTAAGATGAACGTGTTAATTCTCTAATAAACAAAACCTAGACAACACCGCCCAATCTCTAATTATCCTTACCTTTGTCTGGGCCAAATAGTTTTCACTTTGATGCTCATTAAAATTGCATGTAACATGTACGTAAGGATTGCCCTGCCCTGTACCGGAGTTGTGTGTACTACAGTGTTGTCCTAACGACGTCTGGTCCAAATAAATAACCTCACTACCACTGGTTACCGGTAACTGTTGTATAATCTTATACTACATACTGCATGGGTAAAGAATCTTATACTACAGTTAGATTTTGGTGCCTATTTGTAATTACTGCAATTATGAAATAAAATGACTGATTTCCTTTTGAATATCAAATTAGAAAATTATAATTCATAAAAAAAAATCTGATGTGGAATAGGTGACCGGTAAACAAAAAATGACCATTTTCCATTTTGTCCATATAGACAGAAACGTATGTCACCATACTTCATGTTTTACATATGAGTATTTAATTACAGACTTGACGTTTCACATATGAGTAACATTCCAGGTGTATGAAATGTCACCTGGGTCAATTGTGTCTGTCTAGAGTTCAGTGGGTTCCGGGTTCAAATCCCAGTCTGGCCATGCAGTTTTCCTCTTTTGTTACATACACCTTTTTGTCTAGGGGACAAAGGATTATTCTTGCACCTTGGAGAAGACTGAAATCATCAGTATAAGGCTATCATGATATAACACTCTAATTATTTGTTGGGGTCAGCATCGCAGATGAAAGCAACATGGAAACAATTATACTCTGCTTAAAAACTGAAACAGCATATAATTATATTCAAAAACTTTTAAATTCCCCCTGGATCACTAAGTTGTAATTTGACTATATATGGTATCAAGTGGCAATAAAAGTTGCTTCCCCTTTGCCAGTTGTGGGGGACAAAAGGGGTTAGGTTGTTTCTTAGACCACTTTTGCACATAAGGTTCAACCAGTTGAAATGGCTGAACCTGAAAGAAAATACAGGTACAAAATGGAACGGAGGCTGAACTCTGGAAAATTTGGCACATGCGTATCAAGGAATCCAGATGTTGTCCATGTCAAAACTAACATGACAATTTTGTTAGTTTGCTTTTCCCTAGATAAAACAAGGATGATTCACATTTATCTTTTAGAATATTTTCTAAAATTGTAAACATTGGGTACAGGAGCCAATATGTAATTCTTGATTTATTAATTATTTATTTGTCTGTAAACTCTGAAACGGTATATTTTGAGCTCTGCTAATTTGGTTGACACAATTCCAGTCCAAGTGGATTTTTTTAATCACAGAATATTTTCAGACAAAAAGGATTCTTGATGCAAGAAGTTTGTTGAATAGTCATTAACTTATAACAGATATTTCTACTGTATGTGTTTATTTTAAAAATATTTTTTAATTATATATTTAATTTTGAAATTTGAAAATAATTATTTTAAACAAGCATATTATCAGTTCCACCACAGAATATGCTATTTCCTGTTGAATCCAATATGACAGCTGTCAGTCAAACTGATGGCCAAAAGTACAGGGCATGGGTTTTTGTCTGTTTCAATGCCTGATATGATCCTGTCCAGCAATAAAACCTATATAAATATATTATTGAATCCTGGATTATTTCAACATTTACGAAAGAATTAAGAATAAACGAGGAAAATTCACTGCCACATGACAATAACTTCCACCTGATTTTGGTGCTTGACACTAAGCTCTCTAAGAAGCTTAAGAGATAAAGTGTGCTTTTTAATTATTGTAATGAAGGTCAGAGGTCAAAATTTAGGTCAAAGTGGCTTGGTTTTTATTTATGATATTTTGACCCTTGAAGGTGCTGCATACTAAGTTTAATCATCCTACACTAAAAGAGAGAGTATGGCTCCTGACAAACAACTGTGCAGTTATATTTAATACTAAAGTTCAGACAAAAAAGGGTAACAACTCCTTTCAAAATGTATCGGTGTATTCACAGATGAGGCTAGTACCTCTGGCAGGTCTCATTTTAGATCTTGTTTCATTAGACTCTTAAAATCATTTTAAACATTCTTTTTCACCAAAATGTCATCTAGTGTTTTCTGAAAACTAGCACATGCATCATGCTCTAAAGTGTTGCTCCTAGTGTTGGTCCAATAGGTAAATTACACTTTCTTAAACAAATGACTGAGTATAAGCTGTAGACAGCTATTGGAGTATAACTACTGTTTTTGTGGACCAATCTGCTTATAAAGCAGGTCCACTATATTATGCCAATTGAGCGATATGGCTGTAAAGACCTACCTTATGAAAAATTAAAGTATACATCTAAACACAGGTGCCTCTAACGGTATGCTTTCATTACTACAGGCAACATTACCAATCAACCTGTAGTTTTATGTGTTTTTTTTCCCCTTGAATTAAGCTCAATACAGCTATAAATTACAGATATATACAGCTATTGTATATAAGTCTGTCACAGGAAAGAGAGTAGTGTAATTCCACCGGGGATCAAACCTGCGATCCCAGACATCCCATTCGGATGCTCTATCACTGAGCTAAAGGTAAATTTCCTCTAGCTCGAAGGTAAAAGGTGATTATAATTCTATATACAATTAAAATCTGCCACACTACTCCCCTATTTTTAAATGTGTTTGCCCTTGAACACCACAACTCAAGTTCTTACTCTCTGTCACCACAGGGAGGGCCATGGACACCATTTGTAACAGGAAAGAGAATAGTGTGATTCAACAGAGATTGCCCGCGATCCCAGACTTCCTATTCGAACGCTCTACCACTGAGCTCTAGCACTAAAGAAGAAGGTGACTGCTATTTGATGTTCAATTAAAACCTGCCACAGCTGAAATGGCAGTGTGCTGGACCTGTAATCCACCAACTGCTCAGTACATTCTGAAACTTAATTAAAAGCGTCATAGCAGACTACAATGTTGAACAATATCCACGGACATTTACCTCGTTCAGGTACTATCTAACAAGTCAACTATCCTCAAGGACTTTAAAGAAGATGAAAGTCAAAACAACGCAACTAGGTCTACTTTGCATTTGTGATTTGACACCTCCTCGAATATGTTGTTAAATTTGATTGAGCTCCTTTTCAAAACTTTGACGGTAGCTGGTCTCATCGTGTGCTTTACCTAACAGTAGGCCTGCTTCTGTAGCCTACTGGTACAATTACCGCGAACATTTCAGTGTACTGTACTGCACTATACATTAAAGGGTCAGAGGCTCGATCAGTGCTTATCAATGCATAGCAAGGTCCAAGGAGAACATGCCCTCCCCTGTCAGCCTTTGACTCTACGATCAAAACACATTACGTGACAAGAGAACCACAGTGGCGTTGAAATGAAAATGAAGTGAAAAAAGGGTAACATACCTGTCTTCGGTGTTTTCGAATCTACACGTGTAGATACTATGCTCCTAGCCGCTGTGTTGTCAACAACAACTATTCCTGGCTGGGAAATACAATTTACAAAAGAAAAAACAAACGCAGCATAAATAACTTACCTTGACATAAAATAAATCCATTTATATTTTATAATTAACTTAAATAATATTCACTTCAAACACCATCAATTTTTTTCATATTTATTTCTTTTCCGTGACCATTTTATTATAATTAATAGTGTTTTCTCAATTGTTTCGAAACTTTTTAAATATGTGATTTTTTAAATTATATCGACCAAGCACTTGTTATAATCTACGTTTATAAAGTGCTTCAAAAGTACCAGTCTTACAAACGTTCGTTTGTGTTTATGAGGAGTCTTTAGAACGCTTAACTTTAACGCATTGTTTATACCAAGATATAATACACAGTGAAGAACCAGGAAAACATTCTAGACAAATGACATCGGGCGCGTCTAATTACCCAATACTACCCAATACCACCCAATACTACCCAATACCACCCAATACTACCCAATACTACCCCATACGATCCAGTTATGAACCAAATACTTCTTTATTACTGTGAAATGTCACCTTTGTAGACGTTATTTACTTCCATCTGCCATATTTTATCGGGAAATATGCGATTTGGTGCCGAAAACATCACCGAATTGCCGTGACTATGACCCAATACTACCC